AACCGTTCTCCACCCGGGATATACTTCGTCAGATATCAATATTGTCATTGCCGGAGGTAACATCAGAGTAGGGGCATCGTTGGACGTGGGAGGTGAGATAGGGTTTGCGAGGAGTGCTTGTACAGGAGATTTTTCAACGATGTCTGTAGGTGCCTGGACAAAGCAACAGTCAGACAAACACAATTTTTCGTGTTCACCAAATTCACCTCTGGAGCGGTTGGCATATCGGCCAGATTCCCAGAAGGGCTAGATATAGGTGAACCCGGCAACGTGTCACTAGTCGTTTTTCTCACAGTGCCTTTACCAAGGCTCTTCAGACGCCCCATGAACCCGCTGCCGCCAGTAGGAGTGCTTGATGTCGGTGATGCCAGGACACTCGAAGGACCATTCCATGCAGAAAAATCGCCGGCGTCTGACAGCGCAGTGCTTCCTGTAGACGGGCGCCGTGTATGGGGATGTGGAGAGAAATAATCCACGTCCCGGGACGCGCTGGGGAGCGAAGTCACTGGATCAAGGCCTTGCGTACGTATTGGTCGAGGAACAGAGGTGGTATCGTTCGGGGGCAAAAGAGGGATAATGGATAACGGCGGAGGAGATTTCAGCGAAACGAGCGGTATCATCGGGGTAAGAAGAGGGCTGGGTCGGGTCAAAGAGGGAAGTGAAGGAAGGACAGCGGGTAGACAAGTGGTTGATACGACAACCGCACTACTAACAAGAGCTCGCGGCGGCCTTGTTGAAGACTCGAAGGAATGACGCAGTGTGGAACTAGAAGAGTTCCCGTTCAGTTCCAGTGACAATGGAGCCGCAGTGCGCTGTATAGCTGAGTGACCAGTCTCGGAACCGTGGGTGTCGCGTTTACGACGAATGCGTTGCTCCTCGCGAATAAAGCCGAGGAACAAATTTCGTAGGACCCACCTGCCAATGTTGACTGAAATGCATGTTCAGATCAGATGACAGTTAACACAAAGAAGGATATCCTTACACCGGAGTTCATCGCCAAAATGCCTGTCATGATCGAAGCCAGCTTCGTCTGCATATATCTCGGAATCGAAACAGCGCTCGTTGATATGCACAGTGAGGACACCAGTTTTCGTGTCCACAGATGACCAAGGCGAACTGACAGCATCACCCTCAATGCGCTCTCGGACTGCCTCAAGCGCCTCACGAGGACTCTGTTCTTTGTCACCCCCTGTCACACTCCCGCTGTCACGACGAGGCCCACTGCTGGAAGTACTGCCGGATCTACTCGCAGCACGCACCTCCTCACGTACAAAGCGACCTCTGCAGACTCCTCGCACGATATCCCACACAGCGACCTCGCCTGTCGTATCTACCGTTAGCGCATGCATCCGATCGTTCAGCAAGATAGCTCGCACGAGGCCAGGAGAGCCTGCTATCACTACATCTGGGTTTGCGTTTAAAGGCTCGGCATCAGCAGCGAACTCCCGAGCTTCATATGCCATTCGGGGGTCCTGCACTGCATCAACATCGGTGGGCGCCATCGAGATCTCACTTCTCATGCTCCGGAGAGTGTTTGGGGGCATGAGGGTGGAAGAGTGGTGAAAGGCAGCACGGAGTGGTGAACGTCCTCCTGGAACGGAGGCGATGGATGCAGCAGAGTATAATGTTGCAACCTCGGGATCGCGTCCGCGCAAAGCGAATGAAGTAGAGCAGAAAGGACCATCAGGAGAGGTGAGTCGTACGAAAGATGTGAGCGGGACACCGGGGTATGCTGCTGTTGCATCATCCCTACGAACTAGTCGATAGCTCAGAATTGAAAATTTAACATAAAATTGCAAGTCACCTTGATGTATTGACGGTGGTGCAGACCACTGTATAGAGTCAGGTCCAAGGGAAACTTGTCTCCTCGAGATCGTAGCAAAGGAGCTATCAGCAATGATTTCTCCCTCTTCATCTAAGACTCGTTTCGGTACGGGTTTCGGCAACCTCCAGCGACTGATGCTCGATTTACCGGAGGCGGTCCAAAGAAGACCGTCATCCGCGGTCACGATTTTATTGATACCTTCCCCGACTTCAACAGAAGATTCCCGTGCAACGGTGATACAGGTACCGTCCGAAACGTCTGCGCATCCCTCCACATCGACTTTGCACACGATACCCGACTTGTCGCCAGAGTAGAACACCTCAAGTGATGGATGCGTCGAATGTAGAGACCAAACAGAATCTGTGTGGTAAGCAAACGTATGTAGGCATCGCTGAGACGATAATGACCATAGCTTGATGGATGCTAGTGATACAAATATTCAGGAAAGATATTCGGTAGATCATGATGAGTTACACACCGTCTGCAGAACCTGTGAGGAGCTGGCCAAACTCATTAGAAATAGATCATTGTCGAAGTGTTCATAACTTACGTATCGCGCATCCTCTGAAATAAGAATGGCTCTAATATTGTCCGTGTGGCCGACCAGCTTCCCTGTCCTCTTTCCCGAGCGCGGGTCCCACATCCTGACGACACGTTCTGGAGATCCACTTGCGATGGCATGTCCGTACGGGTCGGATGCTATTGCATATACAGAGGCTTTGGGCGCGGTAGCATCAGGTGGGTTGAGGGTAAGGAATGGTTCGGGCGTTATCGATGCTCGGGTGAGATCCCAGAGTTTAATGGTCCGGTCAAACGAGCCAGAAGCTATCCAATTCTGTTCACGACTAAATACATGTCAGTATGAACTATAATATTCAAGGAATGCATACCAAAGAGCGAGACAGCGTGCATAATCGGCGTGAGACCCTATTGCAGAGGGGTCACTGGGAGAAATGGCATGGGGATGCCAGGCCTTGATGGTTCCATCAGACGATGCAGAAACAACTGCTTATGGTCAGCCCGTTTACGCGCCACTGCATTCCATGTGCTTACCTGTCTGATTATAATTACAGAGCAAGAGATCGTTTACCCAGTCTGTGTGGGTCTGCGCGCACTGACGGAAGCTAGAAGACTACAAGAGATGCTTCCAGTTACATGCAACATGATAATTTGTGTGTCTCACCGATCCTGATGTCAACGCATCTGCGTCCAACTGCCACTGGAGTTCGTACGGTAACTGGTCCGTTGTGCTGCCTCTGCGTTTTCGTCCACCACCCTCCTTTACATCTCCTAGCACATCACCATCTCGTCGCTCGTCTTCTTCAGCCTCCTCAGCAAGTGTTTCATCTCCCATCCCTGTCAACATTTCCCACCGGTCTAACCGGTCTCTGTGGTGCCTGCCATCATGTCTCCGCCTGAACGGAAGGCCCAAATCCCATGATATGATTAGTCCATCTCTTCCGCCAGTATAGAGGATGCCTTCCGGTGTGTTCTGACCTTCGAGACGCGTGGTTGTGTCGAGCGCAAGGGACATTGCGCCTAGTCGATGCCTTGGATGAGAATTCTCCGACATGTTCTTGGAGTCGGCCAGTGGTGTCTGAGTTTGTATGAGGAGTGGACGTATTGAACCATTGCGGGGGACTCCAAGTGGTGGTAGCCTAAGCCGTGAAACATCGTCCGTGGGTGGAGGTATGACATATGATACCCTACGCCTGGGAGGTGCCATGTGAAGGAAAATACAAATTTACATACAGGTATACAAGTAGTATGGTATACAGTTGTCTCTGAAGGACGCGTTACACGTCGACGAACTGTAGCTGACCGCTGTCGTCGACGGTGGGGAGAATGAGATGATGGGTATTGTTGAATGTGTTTGGTGCCTGGTCAACTTGAATGTGTCAATGTCACCGTGTGCTCAGCCTGGGCTGGAGCTGTGTGCATGGGATGTAATCTAATCTTATCCACATTGGCTTCATCTGGCACCATCATGAACCATGTATACTAAACTTGTACATCACCCCATGACTGTCATCGACGAGAGCAATACCTGGCAATTTTCTGTCTTCAAGGATTGCTTTGCTCGTCGAATAATAACTCAGAGCAGGCAACGATAATTCTGACCTCGATGAGTTCACTTCATTTCTCGCTGCCGAGACATGACAATCGCTTCCGCTTTCATTGCACGAGGCAACCCACGAAAGCCCCCCTAAAATTCCAGATCCCAGTGACATACCACTCGATACACTTCCGGACACAGTGATGATACTAACGCTCGAGGCCTAGTAGCCTACAGCCTGACCACTGATCTAGATTCGTTTCAGATACTCGTCCGACAGCGACATGCTGCACGACTTTATCAGCCAAGCTTGTGCACCCCCTCCTGTTTGGACTTCAACTTGCACAAAGGAATGCGAGATTTGCGAACGGGAGGTGCGGTTGACGTGCCACCACCTCATCCCTCGATCCACACATGCCAAGGTGCTCAAGAAGAAGGGCCGCCAAATGCATCCAGAATCGATGATAAACTTCGTCGCATGGCTATGCAGGTTTGTTTTGTTGAATACTTATCGTATCGAGATGGTCTGGTTTCATCCTTACTTTGTAGACCATGCCATAGCCTTGCACATATAGCGGCAGTAATGACGAACTTGCTCGGTACTTCGACACAGTTGACCTCCTCGTATCTCGGGAGGACATACTCAAGTGGAGGAAATATGCTTCAAAGCAACGGTAGGGTGACAAAAGAGGATAATTCTGTTACTCCTGGATCCAGCCATCTATGTCATTTATGTAAAACCTGAGTTGTCCCAGAAGTGCTCGGATCAATCTTACTTCCTCAGTCTTGTATTTACGTTCTACAGGAAATACATATGCATAGCTGGGAGGACACTAGAGGGAAACATGTTCCATCACTCTTTCTTGTTATGTTTCTTCTCGGGTACTACCATCACATCACTGGTCCTTCCATACATCTTCAATCTAGCGGCTTGAACTTCCTTAGCCACCATAGTCAGACTGGTTACGAGTCTATGCAACAGCCACTAAAGGTTGTCACGCATACTTTGCATTCATCGGAAGCCCGAAAGTCAAGAAGGTATGTTAAGCTTATACACTGTCTACTGACAAAAGTTAACCATCAGATTTAGACTGCAATGGAAATGGAAAAAAAAAAACATTCGGATACGGGGAATCGAACCCCGAGCTACCGCGAAATTCATCGATGAGAGGCGGTAATGTTAACCATTACACCATATCCGATTGAGTGGCAAGAGCCTTGTCAATAATCCTAACCGTTAGTCCCTATCAAGTTTCTATGATGGATCATTGATTCATCATGATTGGATGTCGAACATTATAATAAAGCTTGCAATTGTAAAGCTTGGACATTAATTTCATCTCGCCATTCGTGATGTTACCTGCTCGCATGTGGACGACAATAGCGCCTATTCTGCGGGCGTCGCATAGTACTCGGAGCCTGCCAGTCCTTACTCAAAATTACCTACGAGTTCGACTACCCACATCCAGCCCTCGTTCAACTCCCCTACGCCAACTTTCGACATCATCTCCTCGACATGCTCAGTATACGCGCTTTTCATCCGAAAAACACCGCCACCCCTCTGGAGAGGTGATAGACAATCGCATGAAGATTGTCATTGCACTGGTTGCAGTCGGAGGAACATATTATATCGTGCAGTACGTGTTCAGTGCACTACTTGTGATACCATGTCTCACTTCAGCCCTCAAGTTTAGAACAAGTCCCTGAAACGGGTAGGTGGCGATTTATGGATATCAGTCCCAAGTACGAGACAAAGGTGAGAGCAAAGCTTAGCCCGAAGGAACAAACCCTCATATTTCCCCCTTGCAGCTTGCACAGGCAGCATATGACGAGCTCTTGGCTGAATTTCGAGGCAAGGTACTGCCTTCCAATCACCCTGTGACACGACACGTCCAACGAGTTGTTAGTCGTATTCTTGAATCATCGGATCTTGGCCACTTGCGTTCTAGCGAACCTCGCCGGTCACTAGTGGAAGCATTAGATGACTTCTGGAGTGAAGACCCATTCACTACTGGAAGACCTTCCGGGGAGTCGTCTACCCCAGAAAGCGGAGGTAAAGAATGGAATTTACTTGTTGTGAATGACCCATCCATTGTAAACGCCATGGCCACCTTTGGTTCGCTCTCGAGCTGCTTCTGCAAGTGAACCTTTACATATACGTGGCAACAGGGAATATCGTGGTTTTCACTGGAATTTTACCTATATGCAAGGATGAACAGGGTTTGGCTGCTGTCCTTGGACATGGTACGCGATTCTGCCAAGGATAAAGTGCGCAACTCAAATTATTCGGCAGAGATCGCCCACGTGGGTATGATGGTATGATACAACATGCACGCACATTCTAAAGACCCCTTTACCAGTTGCTCGACATGCTTCTGAACGCTATTCGTCCTCTAAAGTATTCCTAGCGGTAGCAGTTCTTCTGCAAACAGTCTTCGGGTTCGATTTTGGAATCACCAACCTCATAAGCACGTTGCTACTGGAGCTACCCAATTCGCGGACTCAGGAATACGAGGGTATGTTTCTTCCAGCTATAAACATAGAAATGCTGATGTCAGGGACGTAGCCGATACTATCGGCATGCAGCTTACTGCAAAGGCATGTTTTGACCCCCAGGCTGCTGTGGAGTGAGTGATTTGGGTTTTCCGTTGTCTGACTTATGTGCGCGACATTACAGAATGCATGCGCGGCTTGCACAATATGAAAAGGCCCATGGAGCAACAAGTCTGGAATTCTTGCGCACGCACCCAGGTGCAGAGCGGAGAATCAAAGTCAGTGTAGTGTTTCCACTTTGAGCTTCATAGTCTCATTTTTCCGTCAGCATCTCGAGGAACTTATACCAGAGGCCTACTCCATACAAGCCAGCAGCCCTCAATGCGCAGGTATGCAGGACTCTGTGAGCCGGTTCAAAGAGTTTGCGCCTAGATGGTCGTAGATTATCCACCAGAGTTAAGATTTATGTTTGTGAGTGGATTCGGGTTCTCGCTGCTTAATTTTTACTTGTGCAATCTGGAGAGTGGATTCGAATGAGAGGTGCAAATCAATGATGCTATCAGAAAATGAACGGCATCTTTGAAGTGTTTGCGTCTGCCATATCTCTAGATCCGTCAAGCTTAAGACAGAAAATCCATCCCTTCCGAACCCCCATCAAAGAAAGAGCCATTGCAGGAACAAACTCCATCCTTTAGAGGGTTTGCAACACAGGAGAACCGAAAAAATATAACGGGGTTGGGGAAAAGGTGCGAATCATAGTATCAGTTACTACTCAGTGTGAAGGAGCCTCGCACTTCGTCGTCGTTCCGACGAAGTTTTCCTGTGATAGATTTACAATATGATAATCTTCTCGAGTGGCGTGCAAGCATGTGTAGGTGTGTGTGATCAACTGCCAAGACCCTAAGACGTGAATTCTCCCTCAGTCGTTCCTTCCTTGAAGTACAAAATTAATTGAAATTGAATTAGGTGCGTTTGATGGGTCCATGGACCAGCCAAACAAAGACACATAACGCGTCGGTTCATTGGATTTAAAATCTTCATACTGACACCACTTGAACAATCCACCTCTCTTCTGAATTTGCAACCCAGCTTCATAACAATGGCCGTCTTCGTTCAACGCCCAGCACCAGCCTTCACAGCTACCGCAGTCGTAGAGGGTGAATTCAAGGAGATCTCCTTGTCCGAATACCTGGGCCAATGGTACGCGTCTTATGCGCCAGACATTCGTGAGAGGAGTGGCTAACATTAGCATTATCTGCAAGGGTGATTCTTTTCTTCTATCCAATGTGAGGATGGTCTTTCTCCTCAAACGTCGTATTCTCACCATTGTCGTCGTCACGCTAACAGGGATTTCACGTTCGTTTGTCCAACCGAGATCTTGGCTTTCAATGATGCGCTTCCTCAATTCAAAGCGCTGAATGGATCCGTTCTCGGTTAGTTCGGGATTATTTTTGTGGTCTATTGGACGCGTTCCGATGGTTTTATAGGTGTTTCCACAGATTCTCAATATTCCCACCTTGCATGGGCGCAGCAACCGAGGAAGCAGGGCGGTATTGGACCTGACCTCAAGCTACCTTTGATTGCGGACAGGAACATGAAAATATCCAAGGACTATGGTGTCCTCATGGAGGAGGAAGGCATTGCGCTACGCGTGGTTTGTTCATCATTGATCCCAAGGTATCGTCAGGTAGGTCTCTGTCAGTCCTGGACTAGTTTGGCAACCGACGCTTTTAAATAGGCAGATCACCATTAATGATCTTCCCGTCGGTCGATCCGTGGACGAAACCATCCGTCTTCTCAAGGCCTTCCAATTTGTGGTACTTTTTTTTCTCTTTGTATATCGTAACGTTTCACTGCATCTTGTGCAGGAGGAACATGGAGAGGTCTGCCCTTTGGGCTGGACTGAGGGTGCTAAAACTATCAAGCCGGACCCCAAAGGATCTATGGACTACTTCTCGACAGTGGATGATGCGGCCACCAACGGTCATGTGAACGGGAGTGCCAAGAAACGTCTTCGCACAAATTGATATAATCGTTTGCATGACAGCTAGATATGATCATGGTAGACGCGCTTCTCGTGCAGCTAGAGCACCAAAGTAGACTTTTGATATCTAGTCATTTAATTTTTACATACATATATCTTGCATATCACCATTCATACATACCTTTGTTACTTATATCCTGTCACGGTAACGCTTGACGTTCAAGGTGCACTAAGCTCGACGAAATAAAGCTAGATACGATACTGCACATCAGCAGAAGGCAAGCAGCGTTGGGCGACGCAGCTCTAAACGAATGGATAAATCTCTCCTCTGCTGACGCTCGACCGTCACTCTTTCCTGTGAAACCAGACTCCACACAACGCAACGTCTGCCTCCGGCGATGGATCTGGAAAACAAAACTGTATGTCACTCAGCGTAGAGCAAGCTTTCGTCCACATTTTGGCATGTGTCTTCTCTGTGCCTGAGCTCACAAACTCGCTTGATAGGACAACGCCCACAGGTGAAGTAATCAGCATCGAGGAATGGCCAAACGAGGGCGTTGTGGGAGTATGGGATGATACAGACAGTTGGAGGGATCCAGACAATGGGGGTGTCAATAGTTGTGACTGTCTGGAACGAAATGGTGTAGTGAGCTTGAGCGTGCGCAAGCCATTAAAACGTGAGATGACTGCATCAATGATGCCATATAGTATCTTCGAGCACAGCGTCAAAATCAACGATTCTTGAATTCAGAAAATATTGCTCACTTCGGCGGTGTCATCTTCCATCCAAAGCACCTCTACCTCCAAAACAACGAGGCCGCGGCTATTGGCAGCACCGCTACCTGACAATATTCCACCGGCAGCACCCAAGAATTTTTCAACTGTTCGTTTGTCCACCTCGTGAGTGAAGACTACATCCAGTTTGGAGACACCTTGAATTGCACGGAGGAGTGCGGCAGGCCGCAACCCCGTGTAAAGCGTGGTGGTGACATCCAAAACAACAGTTTGGAGTGTTTGTCCCAGTAAGGAGCATATTGCCATCGTCAGTTGTGGAGGAGCATGCAGTTGAGAGAGCGATGGCAACATGGTTTCTCGTGCGAGACCAGATGCGAATATGTGATGCAAGGAACATTCGGGTGAGAAGGGATTCTCGGCGACGTTGGGAAATGCTAGATATTGTAGGGAGGATTGATCTCTGAGGAAATGTAGAATATCGATGATATGCTCCTCAGAGATTGTGTCATCAAGGATGACTAGTGTCTTCAATCGGAGAGAAAGAGGAGGCGACTGCGAAAATACTGGTACAAATGTCCGCAGCGTAAGAGATTCCAAGTTCGACATATTATGCAACGCAGTCGTGAGATCAACAGATGGTATAAGATGGCCGTCAGATGACGTTGTTGCTGGCCAAAAGTGACACGAGAAAGATTGGACCCTTGCAGCGAGAGATGCATGGGTGGCAAGGGTTCTACAAAGCTTTTCAACTTGCGGCTCTGATATCGATTGGAATTCGAGTATCCGATATAATGTGTTACGCGACGCGTCGCAGAGTTGAGCTGAAACAAGGGCAATACGCGGTAAATCGAACTTGGGCAAGAAAGACAGGATTGTCTCTAACAGCTCCACAGGAAGGCTCTGGATCGCAACACCTGCCACATGTGTTGCGTATTCTGCAAGCAATCCTGCATGGAATGAATGTGACGGATTATTCAATAGATCGGGCAA